CTTCTCCCAGCCCTACCTGCCGCTCCCGGAGGCGGCGGCGGAGCAGGCCCAGGCCGACTCGCTCACCGTCTACTTGGTCATCGCCTTGGCCTCGGTGTCGTCGCTCTTCCTGTTCTCGGTGGTGCTGTTCGTGGCGGTGAGGCTGTGCAGGAGGCACAGGGCGGCTTCCGTAGGTCGCTGCTCGGTGCCTGACGGCCGTTTTGCAGGCCAACTGGTGGATGTCAGCGGCACTGGGACCCTGTCCCAGAGTTACCAGTATGAAGTGTGTCTGACGGGAGGCTCCGGGACAAATGAGTTCAAGTTCCTGAAGCCGGTAATCCCCAATCTCTGGCCCCAGGGCGCTAGCGAAGAAATAGGGAAAACTGCTACCTTCCGAAATAGCTTTGGATTCAATTAGAGATCTAATTATGATGCAATGTTTCTTACCATTAATTCCTAAGCTATACAGATATAGAATTTGAGGATGTCATGGAGAAAAAGTCCATCTTCAGAGTTAGCTTTGATATCCTTTAATGGATATCAATGGATTTGTCCATTGAATTTTATGTTGTACAATTCTGGAAATTTCAGTTTTACATCACTGCATTCGTTTTCATAGAGCCATTTAAAATCCACGCATGGTATTAATTTTCCTGAGATTTTTAACTCTTTTTGTTGCTATTTGTCATGATAAAATATCTTAATAAAATCGAACATTAATTTTATTTTCTATGTATTCTACCCACTTGATTTCATCACTCTGTAAATGTATTTGATGCTAAATTGTGAAAATAAAAATAATGTACATCACTTTCTTTATTGTAATTGCTTCTGAAGGAATACATACTTATGATAACATCAAATATGTGAGAAAACATGTGAAATGCACCAGTCTCCTATCTACTCTTCACACACCCCCAGCCCTGATTCCTATTTGGGGAACTTTTGTTGTTTGTTTTGTTTTTTGGAGACAGAGTGTATCTCTGTCACCCAGGCTGGAGGGCAGGGGTGCGATCACAGCTCACTGTAACCTCCAACTCCTGGGCTCAAGCAATCCTTCCACCTCAGCTTCTGGAGCAGCTAGGACTACAGGAGACCACCATACCTGGCTAGTTTTTTAAAACAATACTCCTTTTAAGTTTGGTCCTTTCATTCTCATTGCTGTATAGTAGATTCTATTACATAAATATGCCAAAATTTATTGTCTATTTAGATAAATTTGTGTGGGGCAAAGTATGGCTGTTACAAATAATACTACTACAAACATTATTGAATGCATATTTTGTGATTTGCTGTGTGATATTATGTCTCATCTGGTAAATCTGTATGTGCAGTTTTATTAGGTATATAGCTAGAAATGGAATCACTCCTCATTTACTTAGGTACATGTCCATGTTTAGTAGACATTTTCCAATAGTCTTCCAAAGTGGTTGTACTACTTTAAACTGCTATCACCAGTGTCTGGCTGGACAAGTTTTTCCACATTTTTGCCAACACCTGGTGTTGTCCGTTTTTTAATTTTATCCCTTTGGCAAAAACTTTTAAACATTTTTAAGCTCTTCTTATATTTACTTTCTTATTGCCAAGGAATATGTTTGTAACTTTTATGATCTGGACTGTTTTTCGATGCCCTGCCCCCAGATTCCTATAGGTTTAAGCTCTAATCCAGTGGTTCTCAACCTGTGGGTTGTGACCCCTTTGGGGGTTGAGCAACCCTCTCATAGGGGTTGCCTAATATTAGATATTTACATTACAATTCATGACAGTAGCAAAAATTACAGTTATGAAGTAGCAAAAAAAAAGAAATTTATGGTTGGGGGTCACCACAACACGAAGAACTGTATTAAAGGGTCACAGAATTAGGAAGGTTGAGAACCACTGCTCTAGTCCCCACTATCTCAGAAAGTGACTGTATTTAGAGAAAGGACCTTTAAAGAGGTGAACACATGGAAATGAGTCATTAAGGTAGGGATTAATCTAATATGCCTAGTGTTCTTAGGAGAGGAGGAGGTTTGAATGTAGAGAGACAGTAGACATGTGTGCCCTTAGAGAGATGACCATGTGAAGACACTGGGGGGAAAAATGGCCATCTACAAGCCAAGGAGAGAAGCTTCGAAATAAAACTAATTCTTTCAATACCTTAACCTTGGACTTCTAGCCTCCAAATTACAAGGAAATACATTTCTGCTTTGTTAGCCATCCAATCTATTGTATGTATTAGTTATGGCAGCCCTAGCAAACAAATACAGTGATTTTTTATAAACTTTATTTTACTGATAGATAGATAGATAGATAGATAGATAGATAGATAGATTGATATGAGACAGTCTCACTCTGTTGCACAGGCTAAAGTGCTCTGGCATCAACCCAGCTCACAGCAACCTCAAAATCCTGGGTTCAAGCAATCCTCCTGTCTCAGCCTCCCAAGTAGGTGGGACTACAGGCATTCAGCAAGACTCCCAGCTGATTTTTCTTATTTTTAGTGGAGACAGGATCTTGCCCTTGCTCAGGTTGATCTCAAACTCCTTAGCTAAAGCAATCCTCTCACCTTGGGCTTCCAGAATGCAAAAAATTACAGGTGTTAGCCACTGCACCAGCAATTTTCATAAACTTTAGACAATTTTCTGTTACACTTGCTGAATACTTACCACACTTAAAAGTACTTCAGTCATTGATTTTCACATATAGCTATTAATATATCACTATTTTCAGGTATTTCCGCATAAAACTGAAACCCCATTTGTTGTTCTATTAATAACAATTTCATTTGATTTTTCATGTGAAAAAGAATAGCATCCTTATTCTCCTTTTATATCTCTTTCTCTTACACTTTCCAAACTCTCTCAATTGAACTTCTACTTTTACATTTTACAACCATAGTTTTATATCTTCTTTATAACCACAGCTAAGAATCCCTTGTCTTATCTATAGATAAGCTTTAAAATCCAAAAATAAATAGTAAAAATTTTATTTTATTTATTTATTTTTTTGAGACAGAGTCCCACTAAGTCCCTCTTAATAGAGTGCTATGACATAACAGCTCATAGCAACCTCAAATTCTAGGGCTTAAGCAATTATTACTTTTTTTGGCCAGGGTTGGGTTTGAACCCGCCACCTCCAGTATATGAGTATATGGGGCGGATGTCCTATTCCTTTGAGCCACAGGTGCCGCCCAGCTTAAGCAATTCTTTTGCCTCAGCCTCCCGAGTAGCTGGGATGACAGGCGCCCACCACAACGTCTATTTTTTGGTTGCAGTTGTTATTGTTGTTTAGCAGGCCTGGGCTGGGCTCAAACCCGTCAGCTTCAGTGTATGTGGCTGGCACCCTACTCACTGAGCTACTGGCACAGAGCCTTAAAAATTTTTATTTTTATGACTATGTTAATTATGAATGCCCTGTAGTCAGAAATCACCAAAAATATACTATGTCAGAACAGAGTTGCATTTATTGACTTATTGCAATGAGGAGACTATGCACAATAGGGAGCCACAAGTTACCTTAGTAACAGGGTCTTACAAAGGAGTTACAGCATTTGGGCTTGTGTTAAGTGGTTTGGGGAGAGTTTAGGGAAGTATCTATACATTAGCTCTGGCCTAGATGCTTTCAGAAAGTGAGAATAATTCTATGGTTGGGTATCTTAATTTTATTTATAAGGTGGTAAGAACAAAGTGAAATTAAAGTTATAATTGGTAAAGAAGAAGTATTCACTCATTAGCAAAGAAAGGAAGGTTTTGGACTTTTTTTTTTGGTTTGGACAATGTTCTTGCTTTTGTCTCTGCTCAAGTCTGGAGTAATTTTGTTTCGGTCTCTCTACATCAGGGTCTCAATGGTATTTTCTGATGTTGCTATTTCATAATTTGTTTATGTTCAATAGGAGAAGATCATGGTCTATGAGTGTCAGAATTCCTGTTTGTCAGAGACTTACAATTTCTCAAAATATTTCTCATTGCAGAGCCATATCACTTAGCAATAAGTACTATCTTTCTGTTCTTTAAATCTGATGTTGTGTTTGCCATGAAATTTAAAGCAATGTTTCTAAAGCAGAGATCAAACAGATTCATCATTTAATAAATTCTTTTTTGAGACAGAATCTTACTTTGACATCCTTGGTAGAGTGCCGTGGTGTCATAGCTCACAGCAACCTCAAACTTTTGGGCTGGAAGTGATTATCTTGCCTTAGCCTCTCTAGTATCTGGGACTACAGGTACCTGCCACATCTGTCTACCTTTTAGAGAGGGGGTCTTGCTCTTGCTCAGGCTGGTCTTGAACTCCTGAGCTCAGGCAATCCACCCTCCTCATCCTGCCAGAGTGCTAGGATGACAGGCCCTATTTTTTCTTTCTTTTTTTTTTTTTTAAATAACTAGAAATATAGAAGATTCATCATTTTGGACTTCATCAGTTGGTTTTACTGTATTTTCAAAATCTCAATGCATAATTCAGGTTTCTGCTTCCATCTAGGCACAACGATCTCTAAGTGTGTACAAAACTATCATCTTGTCTTCATACCTCTCCTGGTTATGTCCATTGTTTAATGGATCCTTTATCCCTTCTTGTTTATTCTCTTCCTTTGCCACAGTATATCCTGAAGTGGCTTCCTAAAGGAGGGCTCACAGAAAAGAAACCTTCTCATGTCCCTGAAAGTCAGAAAATGCATTTAGTTTTCCTTTACACCTTATTTATGATTTGGCTAGATACAGAATTCTTACTTAAAAATTGAAAATCATTTATGTATTGATTATTGGTTTATAATTTTTGATAAGAAATCTTATGTGAGTGTGATTCTCATTTTTTTCATTCTCTCTAAGTATATAGATACACACACACACACACACAAAGGGTGCAAAAATTGCATACACATTTTAAGAAAGGAAAACCATATTAAAATTACAGTACTCAATATATACCAATAACAAAAGATGAACACAAATCATTTTTGAGCACCTCTTGTAATTGCAACAGTGAAATGTGACTTGAGTGTATAGGTATTTGTGGGTATATATATGTATATATGTATATTCTTTTCCTTTCGAATTTTATAATTTTCTCTTCTTGTAGGTTACTTGAATTTTATAATAGTGTGGTGATCTTTTTCATTCATTTTGCTGGACACATATTCTAGCGATTTATACCTTTTCATCCCTGGGATTATTTCATCTCTACCATTATTTTCTTAATTATTGTAGTCCTAACTTTATCTTGTTATTTCTTTTTGGGATTTGTGTTTATTAGATATTGAATATTCTCAATTATTTCTCTGCTTTTTATAGTTCTCTTTTATTTTACATCTTTACCTTTTCCTCTACATCCTTAAGTCTCTTGATTTATTTTTGAGTATTTCTAGTGATTTTTAATTTTGTGTCACATTTAAGTCCCTAAGAACTTTTTCATTATTAAACATTATTATATGTTATGTGTTACTGTAAGGGTCTCACAGAAAAGTGATGTTGTGAAGAATAAGCACGCCTATTGAAATTGTGTTTTAAATAAAGGTGGCCATCTGCTCGCTCAGGCAAAATGGTGAGCTTCTTTATTTTCAGTTGGCTTATATAGGGAATTTTGTACATGAGC